TCCTGGTTTGTAGGCAAACTTAGTTGTAGTTTGTAGTAATTAATTTGTGGATAACAGTCTATATATTATGTTAGCACACTGTTAAGGAATCTAATGTTAGCTGAGAACGATGGATATTTTTCCATGTTTAGTGTCTGTAGTAATGTTCTTTTTTCATTATAGTGGTATACGATTATAAGTTTGCATTAGTAATATATATTACTTTTGAATCTGCATCTTAACATCAGGCTTCTGAAAAGTGACCCTTTCCATTCTCCCATGGACTTCTTGAAAATGCACCAGGGTGTGATGCAAAGAAAGCCTGAGATCATTCACACCCAATTCTATCAATTAGAAAATGCTTTGAACTATGCTGTTTAAAGTGTAAGGCCCGGTGTTACACCTGCAATTCCAATGTGGTTCTTAGACACTCTGTCGGAGGAAGTGTAGAGGAACAGAGTTCAAAGAAAGTTTATTCTTTGGAGAAATATGGAGTGTGATGTTTTTTCATTGAAAAAACAACCAAACAAAAATTTGTGAAAAAATTAGGTGTAGCTATAACACTATATAAAAAAATACTGCTTTGATTGTATTATAAAATGAATACTGCTGCTAGGTCATGCTAAGATGCTCAGAAGTAACGTCCCATAATGGTACAGTAAGAAACAATGTAAAAAGGCAGATTTTACAAAGGAATAACATATCTGTAATTTATCTGAAGCCTTTAAAAAGTCTGCCATTTGCAGCACTAATGAAATTTCAACTTGAGAATGTTAAAAAATTGAATAGACATGCTCATCTTTTGTCATGCTATTCATGCATCTGAGACCAACATAATTCTTCCTTTTTTTTTTTTTTTAAGCAGCTCCTCTAAAGTACTGTTATTAAAGAAGTTTATTAAATGTTTTGGAAGGAAATGGTAGAACTGAACTTTTAAATACAGTTTTGTCCGAGGTAAATTTAAATTAGAATTTCTACTTACTGTTTTGTCAAAAGTGTGCTCCAACTACTTCAAAATTAAAAACAAACGAAAAAACCAAACCAAAACAAAACCAACCCATTAAAAATTAGTTGGCTTTGTGCATAAATGTTTGTCTCCTGTTTGCAGAATTCAAATTTTGGCCATCCAGCATTTTCTCATGTGATTTAGAGAGTTTTTTTGCTGAATGTGGAATCACACTGAGAGGGATTGAGCAGAGAAGAGTTTCAGGTGTGAATTGTAAAGTAAGCATTGTTACTGGGACTTGTCACTGAACAATAGAGAGAGCTGCTTCGGATTTAGACTGCAGAAGTTACCTGACCTCAGCAAAAACAAAGCCACAGAAATAGAGGAGTGCTTAGAATTGCCCTTCAAAGGCTACAAATCTTCTAAGGTTGGTTTAGGCTTTTTTTTTGTTGGTGTTTGGTTTTTGGGTTTCTTTGTTTAGTGCAGTGAGCTAGTAAGAGGGGTGAGTGAGGCAGTGCTTCACCATCTGATTCAGTATGAGATTTGTACTCTGGGTTATTTGTTTGCCACTGTTGCTAGTCATAGGTTTTAACATTTTTCTGCTTTATTCCAACCAGCGTAAGCAGTCTGCTGCCTTAAGCTACTAACTGTAATTTACCTCTTTTCCTCTCTTACCTACCTTTTTTTCTGCTTGCCACCAGTTCTACATGTTTTTTTCATTAGTGGTGGTATCAATAAGTAACTTACAATTACATCCTTTATTATAGTCTTAAAAGCACACAGACACACAGAAAGGAGAAATTAAACAGATGCAGCCTGTGTAACAAGTGAGCTGAGTGGTCCTATGAAATAAAATATGGAAAGGTAGGGGTGGTTATTTATTTTATTTTTCCCAACTCTTAATATATTGTTACCCTCTCCAGCCTCCTCATGGACCTCTCCCTTGTATAAGCTGCCTTTTATAGACCAGTATTCCCCAGCTTATTAATAAACATAATAGAAATCTGAAAAAGTGTGGATGTTTCCGTGATTAAAAAAAAAAAAAATCTCCCTATGTCGTATATGTGTACTAACTATATAGTTAGTAAGTGTGGTCATCAGTATACTGTAGGTCTGAGTGTAAAATGTTTGAAAAAAATTTAAGTATGTCAAATTGGTAAATGAACATGTCATTTAGCACAGCAGGAAAAATGTGTTTTAAGAAAAACTTAATCTGGAAACAACGTGTACCCTGAAGATGCTGTATCGCTGTACAGGAGGTCGGTCATCTTACAGGAACACAGCAGTAGTGAAAGTGCAACTTTGCCTCTGCATTGCTTCAAGGTCAATTAAGGGAGAGAGAATGCCCAGTCGCATAGCCATTCTCAAATTGTACAAAAAAATTCAGCTGAGTTGTAACTGTAAAAGGGAAATGAAATTAACGCTAATATAAACATCAAGGATTTATGAAACATTAGGCTGGAATATACACAAACCCATTCGTAATTCAGGAAATAGGGATATAGAAATAGAGAAATTTCCTGTCTTCAGGAACCATTCTTTCGGACGTCTGTAAAAAGCAGGAGCTGGCAAACATGTATAGTTACCAATAAGAAAAAAATCTTTGGCTCAGGAGGATGAAGTGAACCTAAGGTATCAGTGAAAATAAATTTATTTTAACCTAACAGCTGTGAAGGGAACTTGTGTGTGTGTCATATTCTGTTGCTGGATCCTTTTTGGCAGGAATTCTTCTGTTCTCTGTGTATCTGTCTAAGGCATGGTCAGTACAACACAAGTTGCCCGTCACTACTTTGCTATTACACGTGTCAGAAACCTTGAAATGGAAAGATGTATGACTTGTACGTGCTCTACAATTTAACATCTGGAAGAACAGTAGGTCTTCAAATGAATGAGATACACTGTAAACAGATTTGTATTTTGAAACAGGAGGGTGAACTGTCTTAAAACCCAAATGCTGATTTGGCCTACAAGAAGAACCATTCAGTGTGTTCGTGAGCGGTGAGATTTGGAAGGAAAAGGAGTCCTGACTTGGTTCTGATCCTATTCCTTAAGCTACGTTCTGGTTTTGCTCCTACTATAAGATTTCAGAGAAAATACGGTTAGTATTCGTAATAATATTTGTGCTGGAGTGCCCCAATCCTGCAGTGCAGAAAGCAGGGAATTCTCTTGTGCTTGGGCTCTGGAGTCTTCAGGTGCTTTGTCTGAAGGATGTGTCAGTGCAGCCTTTTGCAGCACAGCAGAAAGCTGCTGCTGTCACAAGAACACTTTGGTGAATGGGAAGGAACTTAAAAACTTACGTTGCCTGTCTTAGTTGTCTAGGCTGCAGTGGTTCCAGTCACATAAAACTAGCTTAAGTCTGTCTAAATTAATGGTTTGAATGGTCTTGGCTGAGTCTCTGCAACAAATGTACGACATCAAACTGTTGATCAAATTCTGAGGTAGACTTTACAAGTTGTGTCAAAATAAGAACTGGTGCCCTAATGCAAATATGGTGCTACCTGACATAGCTGACAATTTAGAAATCCCAGGCAGTTCTAAAATTCTAGTCCTCTTCAATGTCTAATTTGCCTCTGATTTAAGTCTAATTTACCCGGTGTTGGTGGTAATGACCTTCAAATAGAAATTGTTTGTATTGCTTTTAGCCAATGCTTTTGTTTCCTTTACCTTCTATTATGAAAAAAGTTAAATACCATCAGTATTTTTTTTCTGCATGTATTGTTCATGCAACTTTAGCTATTTAACTTTAGCTATCCACTAAATTCACCTCTTCTCCAAACAAAATAATGTTAATCTTTTAAATCTCTCCTTTTATGAACTGTCTCTGGTTTTAATCTGTTTATGACATTCTCTGGTGCTTTTCTGTTTCTGATAGATGTTGTTTTCAGACGGATGCTCATAATGAGCACATAATTTCTAGAGAGGTCATGCAATGCATTTATGTAATGGTATAGTATTTTAAATCTGCATTAAAAAGAGATGATTGTGAACATCTTTCTTCGGTTTACTGTGTCCCTTAAACTGACTGTAATAATTGTTAGGTCATTTTCCAGCAGTAGTTTTAGTCAGTTTAGACCTCATGGGTGAGTAGTAAAAATCTTTGTCTAGAGCATATATTAATGTCTTCTGGTGGTTGCTCTGACTTCTGCCTGCGAACTGGAGACTTGAGGAGCCATTCCCTTTGAGCTGATGTGCGTAGCTTGTGCTGCTTCCTTCCTGAGGCAGTGGCTGTATTCCATGTCTTTCACACTGCCTTTGAAAGCTGTTCTTACTGAAGTTACTTACCTAGACACTGATCCTGCCCTTTTACCTCCCCTCTCTTTGTATCTTTCCCAAGCTTGTTGTCCTCTTGTGAGTGTGTAATTTTTGCATGGGTTCTCATAATGGAGGAACCTTAAACTTTGCCATTTTTTGGTAGCAAGGTTTTTACTGATACACTTCAGTTGAGAGCACATTGGTTAAAAAACTCATTTTTTTGTGGATTCCCAATGATAAATAACACGGATTCCTTGATGAGGTGCTTTAAGACAACTGCTCTCTGCCTGCAGTTTTTGCAGCTATAGTAGGGTTTTATCCAAAGCTCTGCCATGTATTCCATTCCTTCAGGAGACAAAAGAAGAGAGTAAGTTTCCGCTTCTTTGTAAGCTATACAAAGATTTTTTTGGCTGTCCCAGGTCATCAGTCAGTCTCCAGACTTGGAAATAGCTCCTTGAGAACTATGAAAAAGAAGGAACAGACTGTATTCTATTACTTGACGAGAAAGGTGCATTCCAGTCAGTATAACAGTTGAATAGGTAGAGGATAGACTGGTAAATAGACTGACATGTGTTTAAGATGTGTTTAAACAGTGTGGGGGGAAAAGTGCTCTACAAGTACTGTAGAGCCCTGCAAAGTTTATACATCATATTTTATAAAATTATTCTTTCAAGGCCTTGGCCGTGATTCTAGAGAAAAGGGAATACGATGAGAAATTTAACTCTGCATAAACATGGCTGTAGCTGTTTGGACACAGGAATGCAGATCTACACTGATCATTCAAATCAACGTTAATAAATGTCTTTTTCTTATATAGGTGTATCTGAACCTTCTTTTATTGCTAAAAGTGAAGATCGTTTGTTTAAACATTTATTTGAAGATTATCAAAGATGGGTTCGTCCAGTGGAACACTTGAATGACACGATAAAAATAAAGTTTGGCCTTGCAATCTCTCAGCTAGTAGATGTGGTATGTATAATGAATAAATTTGGCATATTTGTGTTGCTAATTCTTAAAATTCTGGAACATAATGTCATATGAAATAATTGTTCATATTTTACCTTAAACACAATACTTTAAATCTCTAAAATAAAAATAAAATAATAAAGTATGTAATAAAAGATGCATTGCAGATGAGGCCATGAAGAAGTGATTGCAGAGAGTTTGAAAGGACAAGTGGCTCTTTTATTTAGTGGTGTTTTTAGGGAAAAAAAAAAGTGAAATTTTTAAGCCTAGGGAATTGTGTTTTAATTCATTTATTCAATAGGAAACTCATGTTTTTCAACTTTATCAATCTTATTTCTGTAAAATTCTGAAACACTTGCAAGTACTGCTCTTTCTCCTGCTTTAAGCAGCAAAATACCTCTAAGCTTTCAAAATGTCACTTCCAAAGTAATGAAGATTATTTCTTGGCATTACTTATGACGTAAAAAAGATGAAACCCTTTTTTTTCCTCTGATATCCATTCACTTCAGAATATTATTTTCAAATTAAATTCACTCTTTATAGATGTAAGAGCAGTTTTTGTTCCACGTTGGCTCTTTTGTTTCCATAGCAAATCAGTAAAACTGCATAAAATACACTCAAAAAAAAAAAGACGAAAGAGGCACAGAAGGGGGGAGGGAAATATAACTTCTATCTGTTAAAACAATCAAAGGTCCTAACAGTATGTTTAAAAAGATGTCACATAAACATACTTACCAGTAACTGGAATGCTTTCAGAAGTGTGTTTTGAATTTAAATGGCAGATATCTGAGCTAAAGCAGCTGGTTACTGTGAATGTACTGTGCAGACGTTTTTTTCATAAAATATGCTTTGTTTTTATAGGATGAGAAAAATCAATTAATGACAACTAATGTCTGGTTGAAACAGGTATGTGTAAAATATTGATGAGAAATTGTGAAACTTCATAACTGCAAGTCAAATATTGGAAGAAAGTTTTCTAATGAATTGTATACTCAAAAAACTCAGTTGTTGCACAAATTTTTATTTTACATAGTATCGTTAAAAAATTACCCTGGAATTGCTTTAAAGGGTTAATTGTTCTAAAATTCTTAAAAAGCACTACCAAACAAATAAAAATGGTAAATGAAAAAAATTTGCCTAATTAAAAGAAATATGATATGGTATTGCATGGCCATTTAATATACCAAGGTTTGTGTATCCAACCACGAAAGTTACTGCTTCAGTGCATAAGTTTTCTTTCAAAAAAACATATTAAGAGATGTTTAGGTTTATGTAGTCTTTTGTGGAATAGTTTTAAGGTCTTTCTCTTGTGAGATGTTTGAGATTATTGGATAAACATCACAGAAGAATTTCAGTTTCAAAGTTATGTATTCTTCCTATAAAGAGCTACTTTTTCGTCTAAGAATATTTGTTTACAGGCAAGAGAAAGCCTCAAGCTTTATAATAATCAGAATCCAGTGCTAAAGTTAATGGTCACTATTAACTCGGGAAATGCTGCTCACAAATCATTCTTGATGTAACTTAGAAGAATGTTTGCAGGTTATACTTAAGAGTTTACTAAATTACTTTTGTTTGGGTTACTTCCTTTGGGTTTTCTGCTGTTGCTTCCCATTCCCTTCTTTTCCAGTAACTGTTATTTTAGGTGAAGGTTTGCTTTTCAGGAAAACTTTGCAACTGCTCAGGAAGTATGAGATGACAATGTGTCAATGATAATACTTTGTGTCCTCTTAATACATTCTGCAGAACTTGTTGCAGTTGAACCAGTTAAACTAAGACCTGACCTGAATATGCATTTAAAAATTCTGTGATTCTTAGAAACCTAAATTTTTCCTCTTGAGCTTTTAGTTCAAGTATGAAAATTACTGAAGTACTACTATGCTTTTAATGGAGTTGTTTTTAGTGTTGCTTGGTTGAAATAGGAAAACCATTTTGTGAGACTGGCAGCATGTTTTTTTTTTTTTTTTTTTTTGGTGTGATGAAAATGTTTACATTGCTTCTGATCACCTTCCAAAGTTACTGATATTCCTCCAGAATGAGCTTTTTTCAAAAATAATTGTCTATATGTTATAGTAAGTCATACTTAGATGTACATGCCCTGAATATTTGATATCTCAAGTTCTGTAAAAAAGTACTGTCAAGTGACTCTCATAAAAGAAAACTGTAATGGTTTGAAAGCAAACCGGTGAGACACTCCAAGTCAGAAATACAATTTAATAGGAAAAAAAAAATAAAAGAAATGCAAACGTACAAAGAAAATCCACAGAGTCAGAATACAACCTGACACTCTGTTAGTTAGGGTGGTGGTAGCAGTCCAGATGAAGTGGTCTTGTTGAAGCAGTGATCCTGTAGAAAAGACCTGGTAGCTCTTGTCCTCTGGAAATCCAGTGGGAAAGGGCCTCTTGTGCTGTCCTGAACCCCAGTTTATATCCAGGTGGGAGCACTTGGCTCCTCCCCCTGGGCAGAACATCTCACGATGGGTTGATGTCATTTTATGAGTCATGCAGTGGGTCCTTGATGGTCCATTAAACAGAAATAGCTCCTGGGGGAAGCTCCGTATGAGTCATGGGGCAAGGCATGGATGGGCCCATTAACAGGGAGGACTCCTTCTGCTGGGTGGGAAGGTGTTAACATCTCCCTGGACCTTTTTCCTTATCTGTTATAGCCTGGGGTGTGAGGTCTGTCCTGGGCAGCTGCTACCCATGATTTTGTTAACAGCCCGTGAGCAATGACATAGGGGGTATAGAAAACAGTTTTTGGTTCTACCCACATAATGATAAACTGGTCCCAGACCCTGTAACCATGACAAAAACAAATATTGCATGAGGTAAATAGATGTCTCGTCCAAAAATTCACTGTTGTATGCAAATTTTAGAAGCTATATTGATTATTTTTTTTTAATTCACCTTTTTATCTATTTTCATCCGGTCTTGGCCTGCTTAAATCAATTTCACAATAATAATGATTTTTACCTCTCACATATCCACAGGAATGGATAGATGTAAAACTGAGATGGAATCCTGAAGACTATGCTGGAATAACATCTATTCGTGTCCCATCTGATTCTATTTGGATTCCAGATATTGTGTTGTATGACAAGTAAGATTTCAATCTTCTCATGTAAAATATGTTTGCTTTCTAACTTTACTGTTAAAGCTGCTTCTAGGAGGCTCATTGGATAGATATGTAGGTACATTCAGTAGAGCTAAGAATGTGCGGGAGAGTTTGTCTCTGAATGCAGATTGGATTTTGTTCCCATGTTAAATGCTTAGACATTTTGCTTTGCTTCTGTAGGGAATTTCTAGTCTTTTTGAAAAGTCTATTTCCACTCCGTCATGTAAACTCTTTTTAATTACAGAATGATGTCTTGCACAATGCTGGGTACAAACTAGTAGTGTAAAGTGATGAGAGGAAAGCAATTAATTCATGCTGTTTGTAAGTCATTTTCAGCATGGATTTAAAATTAATTATGCTCAACTGCAAGTGTTTTTTTTTTTTTCTTTCTTGGTGCTTTTTTTTTTTTTTGAGAACTAGGAACTTTCAGAAGCAACAACTTTTAAATGAATCTTTTTGCTCACCTTGAGTGCTTATACAATGCTTTTACATATCCTGACTTTTTGAGTCAGGAAAAAAGACTTGCAGTGGTTGTAAATTCAAATTTGGAGGTGGACTGCAAACATTATTTTACCTGTTTCGTGTTATTTTTTTTCTTCAGTAATTTTGATTTGGAGAAATTGAGATGTATTTATGCTGTATTACCAATAGAAACACCAGAGTTTGGTCATGCTGTTAAAGGTCAGGCTTTTTACAATCTTCTTACAAGTCGTTGGGACCACAAAAAGTTACATAGACCTTTTCGTGACTTGAAAATGTTCTTCGCTCATCCAAGGTTGTTTACTTGTGTGAGATTCAAATTTAAAAACAAAAAAAAAAAACATTGACTATGAACACAATACAAAATTTTGGCTATGAAATGGCAGAAGGGATAAACATCTGAAATGACAATAACAAGACATTTTCCTTATTTAAAACACCCCCCATTGTAGTTGCATGTATATCTCTCTTTCAGTGCAGATGGGCGTTTTGAAGGAACATCTACAAAAACGGTGGTCAAATACGATGGCACCATTGCTTGGACTCCACCAGCAAACTACAAAAGTTCTTGTACTATTGATGTAACTTTCTTCCCCTTTGATCTACAAAATTGCTCTATGAAATTTGGTTCCTGGACTTATGATGGCTCACAGGTTGATATAATTCTTGAAGATTATGATGTTGACAAAAGAGACTTTTTTGATAATGGAGAATGGGAAATAGTGACTGCAACAGGAAGCAAAGGAAATAGGACTGATGGATGCTGCTGGTATCCTTTTGTTACGTATTCATTTATAATTAGACGTTTGCCACTTTTTTATACATTATTTCTCATTATTCCTTGTATTGGGCTTTCATTTCTAACTGTCCTTGTCTTCTATCTTCCTTCAAATGAAGGTGAAAAAATTTCACTTTGCACTTCAGTACTGGTATCTTTGACTGTTTTTCTTCTTGTTATTGAAGAAATCATTCCATCATCTTCTAAAGTTATCCCGCTTATAGGAGAGTACTTGGTGTTTACTATGATATTTGTGACATTGTCCATTGTGATAACTGTCTTTGCTATCAATATTCATCATCGTTCTTCGTCTACACACAATACTATGGCGCCTTGGGTGCGCAAGATATTTCTTCACAAACTCCCCAAACTGCTTTGCATGCGAAGTCATGTAGATAGATACTTTGCTCAGAAGGAGGAAACAGGAAATACAAATGGATCGGAATCACCGAGGAACACCTTGGAAGCAGCTCTAGATTCGATCCGGTATATTACAAGACACGTTATGAAGGAGAATGAAGTTCGCGAGGTAGGCGTGTTAGTCAGATTACACTGATGTTGTAAAGCTGGGAATTGGAAAACTAAGTTTACTATGCAGGTGCATGTGAAGTATGTGCTATGGGATTTCCAGTTTTTGTACTTCACTTGGAAACTGTGTAATGATTTCCACTGAAAAGTAGCACAAGTATGGTACAACACTGAGAATTCTTACAGATATTTGCCTGAATGCAATACAGCCCTTGTGTTCTTTAAGTCATTTTGCTGTCTTCTAGAACTAAGTTCATGTTATTAAATACACATTTTCAGAGATACTTGTTTGTTACAAGACCCTCTACCATAACTGTTCCCTACGCTGCTGCTGGATGCTATTTTCATAAGAGAAGTAGGTATTTTTCATTTTAATGTTGTACCTGAAGGCTATCTGAAAAATGCATTTGTCTTAGATTTTCTGAGTAAATACTGCTAGGCCTTATTTTTCAGCTTTCAATTCCAAATAAAACAAATTTTTAAGGCCCTGTCTTATAGTAGCTTTAGTACAAGCTATAGCCATATTTTGGCCATTTTGTACCAAGATCACACATGGACTAGATGACCTCTTGACTTCTCTTATTATTATTTGTCTCTAAATTATATCAAGAGATGTCAAAGGCTTTTTTTTTCGGTCTGTACATTTACAGTCTGAACCATCTGTAATGGATGTTTAAACCTTTTAGGTAAGAGTATTGTCAATCTGTTTTCTTTCTGTGCTTTTTAAACAGCAATATCAGTACATCAGGGACTTAAATGCTATTTCAGGCAAGTGTAGAAATATAGATGTTTGTTCTGTGGTCTCGTGAGACTGCTGTTTCTGATAGCAAGGCTGAGATTGTGTCCATTTCTACAAAAATTCCTTTCTTTAAAGTTGCTGGTTGCTGAGAGTGTGTTCTCACACACTAGCCTGGGAGTAAGGTAACTGCTTTACTGTACCTTCTCAGGACTCAGTTCTGACATTATCACAAGGGATCCAACCCAATTTTTGAATAAATGTATCTACTGCACCATTAAAACAGCATCTAGTGGTCTTGCATTGTATTAACAATACAAATAGAATAGTTTGCTATTAAATACATAATTTCCTGTAAATTAAGCATAGATTTTTCTTTCTCTTACTGAACTTAATTCTGTTTGACTGTGAGAGGTGTTAAGTATTTTGTTTTTCAGGTGTCATGTCATGACTCCTAAACCTCAGAAATTAATATACATCTGACTGGGGATTCATTTCTATTTTATTATTTGGGCTCCAGAGAATGCAAGCTTTAATTGCAAAAGTCTTTAAAGACTCCACAGCTAGTGGTGTTGTAGCCTTACCTCTGAGGAAGCAGTGGGCTTGGGAAATGTGGATAGGTCCATTTCAAACAAAGGACAATTGTTTGGCAGGGTTTTTATTTGCTTGCAACTATCTGGTATAGTTGCAAAACTGTATAGCTACGACTCATTCTGTCAAAAAGAGAAAAAGTCTGGAAAGTACTGTGAGTATTCTCCTTGGCATATAATTCTGTACAGCATTAACTTTACAGCTTTCAGATCTTTTTTGTAACACAACATCTTCTGTTTAGTGGATTTTGGTTGGTTTTTTTTTTTTTTTTTTACATTTTGGTTTGCATTTTTTTTTGTTTTTTTGGTGGTGGGTGGGTTGGTTGATTTTATTTGTTTGGGTTTTTTTTTGTCCTTAGTGTTTGCTTCTAGCTCCTGCCTGGGAATACCACTTTTTGATGAGGCTGTGGCATGAGTCCTAAATCTCGTAGTATATTAGAAGATGGCATACCAATTTAACCTCTCTGTAGTTCATGTTCAGTGCTTGTTCAGGGTCAGCTTATGCATTAAAATCTAGTATTGGTCTATATAGCTTACCAGTCTTCACAGAGGGAAGTTTGTTCTCGTTCTAGCTCAGGGTATAATTATAAAAAGCTATTAAAAGTGATTACTAAGTGCACTGGATTGGAAGAAGTGTCCTACAAAGCAATTATGAACTGCAAGATTTTGTACTGTATTTTTGCCTGTTCTTGCACATGCTGACTAACTCTTATACTTTTTGCTCCTTAGGTTGTTGAAGACTGGAAATACATTGCTCAGGTGCTCGATCGAATGTTCTTATGGACTTTTCTTCTGGTTTCAGTAATTGGATCACTTGTATTATTTATTCCTGTTATTCATAAATGGGCAAGTATAATAGTACCTACACACATAGGCAGTACAAACGCATAAAATCTTTCTGTCTCCTGCTAATATAGACCTACTGCAACACTCGTTATAGCTACTTCCTAGCATGTTCTTTGTAGGCATGTTTCTGATAGAGCAAAAAAATGCCAAACACAGAAATGTTTATATTAGTGCATGGCATCTCTAGAACACGTAGAAGTCAATTTGCTTATTGCCAGTCTGCTAAGTTACTTCTAAATCAGGTAAGAATTAAAAGGATCTTCTCAAGCAGTTGGCAATTATATCAAAAAAGCATGCACTGACACCTACTGCAAAATAGAAGGATATAGAAGTTTTTTACGATAAACACCATAGTCAAATTACTAAATTACTATATAATTTTTTTTTAGTATTAAATATTTGTGAGTATTTATGCAGTAGAGTTGCTTATTTCAATTTATTATAGTATGCAGAGGAAAATTTTTATTAGCTCTCTCGAATGTGTTGGAAAACTAGAAAGTTTCTACAGAATAAATCTAAAATAATAATGAAAATACTAGTTAATCTTATTGTATGTTCAACATACAAGTCAAAATAGCATTTTGGCTATGTTTTGTCTTTATAAATTTTCAGTGGAATTTGCTGCTATGTTAAAAACTTGTTAATTCTATCATACTAACATGAACTTTTAATACAGTAAGCCTTAAAATGCCAAAAGGATACATGTATATCAATACGCTGCAGCCGGTGCGCAAAGGAAGGTAAAAACAACTAGGTGAGTTCTCAAGTTGCAGAAGTAGTCTAATGGACAAGAACATTCAGATTTATTTATTCTTGAGGAATTTGATATATTGACTGCAAACACATTAATTTCCTGCCTTTGTGTGTTTCTCAGAATATTTTTAAGCTCAGGTAGAAGGAATTTGGGGAATGCCTTTCTGAAGGAAATGAGTTGATAATTTTTATGTTGTGTAACCAAATATAGATGATTAAGTATTCACACATAAGTTAACCTGAACTTAGAAAGCCACCTTTAATAGGTTTTCTTGTTTATAGAACCATATGTAATTCTAAGCAGTGAGGACTTGCAGCTTTCCATACTTACTTTTTTCCTGAGAGTGCTGAAAACTAACTTGCAATTTTTTAATTATTCCATTGAAATATATTCTTCAGATATAAATTTTAAATTCTTTTCATTTTCCAGTGAAAACTTTCTTAAAACCTTTATTTCTGGAAGAGACTGTAAAACAGATGGGCGTTTTCTGCCACCAAAGTTTTGTCAGTGTACTTCATAATACACTTGCATCCTGCAGGGCTAATACAGTAATGCCAAGCTAGAGCAAGTCTTGGGGTATCTTTGATAATGTATGTTTTTATTGTAGTTACGAATTTGGAAAACTCACACATATTCTCACCCCACTCTATCTCCTTTATAATAGCAGTTTGGCACTGCTGATTATAATACTGATGGCTTATGTCATAACATATATATAATAGAATATCTCAAATTGTTTTCACCTGTAGGATATTCTTGGTTTTGAGTAGCTATTTAAGGTTCACAGGCAAAGAAATGATGCCAGGCAAGCCTTTTTAAAAATAATAATTTATTAAAAATTCTGATTGTAAAGGCAATCAGCTTTCCTCTTTAGGTATAAAATTGCATCTGGCACTGGATATCCATATTTCCTCTTCCTATCCTAATTAATTTTAAAGGTGAATTTGCAAAGACTATCTGATTTAATCATTTAATATAATAAGTTTAAATTTCTCAGTATTACTAAGATTAAACAATGCATCAGTGGTTTTTCACTGTGTGGAAGTCGCAGAAATACTTGAGATATAGTTGGGGTTGTTCAGCCTGGAGAAGAAAAGGCTCTGCGGACACCTTATAACGACCTTCCAGTATCTGAAAGGGGCCTACAAGAAAACTGGGGAGGGACTTTTTACAAGGGGTTGTGGCGATAGGACTGGGGGGTAGTGTCTTCTAATGGGAAGATTTAGCTTAGATGTAAGGAAAGATGTTCTTCACTGTGAGGGCGGCGAGACACTAGAACAGGTTGCCCAGGGAAGTTGTGGCAGCTCCATCACTGCAGGTATACAAGCCCAGGTTGGATGGGGCCTTGTGCAACCTGGTGTGGTGGGAGGTGTCCCTGCCCATGGCAGGGAGGTTGGAACTAGATGATCTCTAAGGTCCCTTCCAATCCAAACCACTCTATGATATCTTATTTTTTCTTCAAATGTAAAATTTCATTTTGTAGTCCTTGGGTTTCAACTACTGGTGTTTACTCTTACCTGAACAGAAAGCAAAGTAAGTAAAACTAGAGATTAGCTATATATCTCATTTTTTTAACTCCCTACCTCATCTCTTTCCTTTTGCTAAATGGTGTCTGTAAACTGCTCAATTATATCAGGTGATTGTCAGCATATTGGCCAATGGAGTCCCTGTCTTTATACTAGTAACTCATAATTTTTGCAAATGCATGACTTTCGTTTAGTCAATTCTACAACCTGATCACGATAAGTACAGAAAAAATAGCTCATACTTGAATCCTTGGAATCTTCAGCTTATCAGGTGCATCTGAAACTATTTTAACAGACTCACAATTATGGACCTTTACTTATGTAACTTGTTCCCCTATGTGTTGAACTGTAGCTAATGCTACCTTGTATAGGTTTTTGTCACATGGTCAAAATAAATGGAAAAAAAAAATGCACACACTTTCGACAACTTGATTCTCTTTATTTTCTTGGATGTTACATCACTTAATGCACTGTTTTTCTAAAAAGTTTCCAGTTTGGTACAGAGAGAACAGTTCATATTTTTACAAAGTATTTTCTCATTATGTTATTTTGTTGCAGTCTTTATTCATGCTCTTCAATGATCTGCAGTTACTGACTGATTTAAAAAACAAACAAACAAAAAAATGCCTAAGAAGCAATCTTTACATACTTTTCAGGACTATTTTGTATCTACTGGCCTTCCTTTGTCATAAAATGCTTTGCTATAGCAGGATGCTTCTGTATCTAAACTATCATATCAAAGTATTTTAATCCTTTGCTTAGCCTGCAGACTGCATCTAAATGTTTGTTTTGCGTGTACACAGATTTAAACATTATTAGGTTTGAATAGCTTGTTTCTTCCTGACAGTCTTCCCATATGTTGAAGTATGGGGCTGCACAGAGTTTACATTATCACTGCTTTATTAACATCATCTATTATTTACTTATTCTTTTGTAATAAACCTGCCCGTAGCCCTAACTCCCCACTGTTTGAGTTGGTTTGTACACCAGGTGGCAATGTCTGCATTCTACCAATTTGGTATATACACTTCCTAAACCATTTTGTCCTCATGAGGAAATTCATGGAACTCAGTATGAATTTAAACTCAGAAGATCCTATCATGGTCTGAAGATACCTGGCACTCATGGAAACTCTCATGGAAACAAATCTAATAGCCCAAAGTATTCAACCTGTCTTGACTTTCAGAATATTAATGCAATTCTCAACCTCTTCTTAAACCCTTCCTATAAAGTTTAATGTACTATCTACATCTTTTCCAGTGATTGCAAAAAGTAGCTGTCAAACATAGTTCATATTACTTTGAGATTAGCTGTCATAAAGATTCAACTTTTTTTTTTTTTTTTATAACACACACCCTTTTTCACACTTAACAAAGCCTTCTTGGTCAGGCAAAGTTGAGGCCAAGAGAGATCCTAATTCTACTACATATAGAAGAAACATCAGGTACTGGGGTGGGGATGCTGAATAGGTTGGCAAAAGTTTTATTTCATTTCACAACATACTGTTTGATCTTTACATTTCATCTCCAGCCATCAAAGGTTGTAAAAACAATCCTGCTGTTCCTAGAATACATACCAGGATGAAAACCCATAGAAAAATACGATCGATTACCATGGCAACGTATTTCCAGTCATCCTGAATCTGAAAAATAAATAGCAAGTAGGCATGTTTATTAGACAAATAACAAACACCATTAGCATAATTAGCACCATTTTATATAGGAGGCACAGTTTTTTTTCAACATGTAGATGTCTTCTATATATCCAGAACTTAGATTTCTCTGGTTTTATTAGTGAATTCATGTTGAATAAGCTTTATATGAATATGCTGTTTGTGGCAAAGCAACAAGCTACTTCTTCAAATATGAGAAGCTGCTCACCAAGACACTGGACTTCATGTGATACCACTTCTCTTTTGTATGCCACAAGTGAAAGTGAAAAGCTTTACATCTTGGGTGATCTGGTTTGTCCAGAAAACTTTATTGAAACAGACTGCTCCTACTGGTCTTTAGGCAGTATGCAAAAAGACAAAAGTTAATCTATTATGATTAGCTGGTATGTTTCTTACGTAGTACTGAAATTTGATTGTTCTCACGCCTGATGTAAAATTCATCTCCTTACTTTCCATGTAGAGAGAAACGGGATGTTTCTATTTTTTTTTTTTTTATGGTGAGCATTATAACAACAGTGCCACTAAAGTATTATATATGCTATGTATTCATAGTAACTTCATTAAGTGATTGTTTTAGTTACTCTTGAGATTACTATTTAGTTTTTTACTTCATGAATAAATGAATAATGCATTTACTGTTTTTGAACTCTTGCACTTTTTAGCTTAGAACTTGTTCGATATAGCAGACTGAAATAAACCAGAACAACCCCATATTTTCTATACCAGCTAATTCTAAATAAAATTCTGATTTCAGCATAAATAAAATAACTCTATTCTAACTTTAAGTGCTATAATGCAGAAGATTTAAATTCAATGACCGTTGCAGTGATATGACTACAGCTACTAGTTTGTTTGAGGCACCGGATAGAAAGCTTTAATTTTTTTTTTTTTTTATTACATTAAGATGCAGTTTTATGAAAGATGATGGTCCTCATGTTGCAGGAGCTGTCTCATTTAGCTACAGCACTTCACTTTGCAGCAGCAGCAGAATAAGCAATGTCATCACTGTGAAGGACATTCATTCTTACATTCTTTGTCGTTGACGGTAAGCTGTGGGAGGGAGGATGTAACTTTCTAAAGGCTATGGAGTCTG